AGGACCCTTCTGAGTGACCCTTGCAAGCCCTTCCAGCCTCCGGACCCAAGTTGAAGGGTTGCTGATTTCCAAGGTCATGGCTGCTTAACAGACTTTACCGCCTCCAGCTCTCCCACCGCACAACAGCGATTTCAATATCTATACACCGACTCTTCCCATCACTTCACTCAACCAATGGGAGGAGAGTAGTGATGTGCTTAACCTAGTGATGCCTCCACGCCTTAAATGTTGAGCCGGAGCAGGCTTTTAATCTGGCTCTGGTCTTCCCTAGCCCGGCAGACTTTGGGCAATGTTGCTCTTTGTTTAAATGGGCATGACACCTGGGCATAACGATCCATCGATCGTTGTGGGAATCGAATAACGCACGTAATGCCCAAGCACTGGGCGCATGGCAAAACCTGGCAAACTGGACTGTTACTGTCCTTCCCCCTTTACAGGTCAAGGGACCCAGGCTCAGAGGGGTGTAGACCCTGGGCAAAATCACACGACAGGAGGCAGTATCTGGGTCCTAGTGCCCTAACTCCCCTGATCTTCCCATACCCCCACCTCCCCTCCAAGTCTGGCCCTTCCCCACCCCCCAAAAAGATAAAAGATCTCTGTAATTCCAGAAGCACACTTGTCCTCCCACACATTCTGGATCCTTCCAGAGAGGAGAGACAGCCCCAGTGCTGGATTCTCTGGGGTGACACCTCCCAGCTCTGCAGAAAACCCCAGAACCTAAATGCATTACTATTTTTCATTACCGTTTCTCACTAATTTACATATTCAGAAATCGGGATGCAGATGAGTCCTAGTTTACTTAGCAGCATTTTCTTTCTTTTTTCTTTCTTTTCACAGCAAACAATTGACAATAACATTTTAGATACGGAAACATAATGCCCCTCCCCTCCTGGAGGGAATCTTTAATCTCCCCATTGTGAAGTGGAGCTGTTAGAATGGCCTCCATTGACAGAAGAAGCTGAGGATCAGAAAGGGATAGGAATGTCCCCCATGAGCTACAGGGCACCAGGCAGGAGATAGGTTTCACCATGGGTCTCTCTGGAGTGGGCATGTAGAGGCGAGACTGGGGCAAGTCTCAGTGCTAGGGGAGTCCTCTGAGCTCTGCATTGGACTGGGCTCCAGTGAGACTCAGGATAAAGGAAACAGAGGCCTCCTGGGGAGAGGGGGGTGCTGACAGGGTCTGCTGAGGCCCAGTTGTTACTTAGGGAAGTGTCTGCCTGTGGGAGAGTGGTGAGGTGTGGGCCAGTGGGTTTCCAAAGTGAGGGCCTGAGAGCCTAGGAGAAGGACAGTCATCAAGACCCGGGCTCAGGCAGCCCTGTGATGCTTGCTGGAAAACCCTCCTGTGAGCTGGCTGCGTCCCAAAGCAGGTCACAGACAGTCCTCACCTCCCCCAGGAACCCCCTAGGGGAGCCAAGGGGGGAAGGACAGCCATGGACTAGGCTCTGAGTCCTGGCAAGCTCTGAACATGAGAATTGGACATTTCACAGGTGGGAAGTGTGAGGCCCAGAGAGGGGAAGAACCCCAACGACGGTGTCAGGCCTTATTTTTTCATAATAATAAGTGACAGTTCCCCATGGATGGAGCACTCCCTGTGTTCCAGGCCTGTGCTAGCACTTTACACACCATTGGTTGACGAGGCCCCTATTAGTGCCCCCACTTTACAGATGAAAGAAATGAGGCTGCCAAGGTTTTAAGCAACTTTCCCTAGATGGCTATGGGCTGTGGGAGAAGACAAACTCGGACAGTGGGGCTGCAAGACTCGAGCTCCTTCCACAACCCATGGCTCTCTTAGGAGGTTTTCCGGAGCATGCTCGTCCCTTGTGTGGCACACTTGAGGGATGGAGAGGAAGCAGGTTGGCGATCGGTGGAAACTGGGAACTAGCTGCCCTGTTCCTTCCACGGGTTGGAGGGAAGAGGGAGAGGAAATGCCTGGGCATCCCAGATGCGGAAGGGAGAGGGTGTCTGCAAGTCCCAGGTTGGGGAGTGGAAGCTCTCCCTCTGACTAAAGGGCAAAAAACAGATGAGGTAGTTTTTGTTGGTTGTCGATGGATCGGTGGAAACTGGGAACTAGCTGGCCTGTTCTTCTGTGCGTCCACCCTCCAGAATGGGACGGGAAGGACTGCGCATCTCTCACGGGAGCAGCTTCTGCTGGGAGGAGAACGCAGGGATCCTCCCGCACCTGCAGATGCGACGGCACAAAGCGTCCGTCTCAATGGAGGTGAGAAAGGCAGCCTCGGGTTTGACAAAGCTATCGGTTTGTCCGAAACGTGGCCGCACACATGGCGAGGCATCAGACGAGCGGTCTGTCCAGAAAGGGCAGCTCGTAGGAAGCGGCCGCGGCGCCTGGACGCGGGGACCGCAGCTGGCGCGCATCTGGGCAGAGCCTGGCCCGGGAATGTGCGGCTAGCGGGGCGCAGGCGCCAACTAGCGGTGGCTCCCGCTGCTGCTGCTGTCCTGGAGGCCCCGGCGGCCCCGGGGACCTCCGGCTGGGGACCCAAACGCCTACAACCCCCGCGCCTTCGTTCCGGTGCCCGCAGACGGCGAGCGCCCTCCCGAGGGCCGGAGCCGCGCCGAGTCCTGTGCAAGGTGCCGGGGCCTACAAGACCCCCCGTTCTTTGAAAACCTGTTTGTCCACCCTCTGTAGGATGGGAGAGAGAAATCGGGCGGAGGGATAAGCAAAGGGCACGATGCAAACCGAAACCTCTCGACGAATCGAATTTACAATTTTCTCCAGAAGCAGCGGGTCACGGCCCCACAGCCGCTCGAGGGCAGCACGCGTCACCTGCCCGCGGCTCCAGGCCCTACCTGGCCACGACGCGGGGGGCCTTTCCCGGAGAAGCTCCCGGAGGTCAGATGCGCCAAGGCCGGGATCTCTCACTTTCCTCTGTTTTCGGCTTTCGGTGCCAGCGCTTCCGAGGGCGCGCGGGCCTGGCGACCGACAACTCCTAGGCATAGGCTTTTTGAAAAGGTCCAGTAAGGGACCCTCGCTGTTCTTGATTTCGAGATGGCCTGAGGCGCTGACTTGAGGCTCAGAGAGGGGCAGGCGCTAGCTCTCCAGGTGGTCAGAGTTGGGCCAGAGCCCGTCCCCCTGGAGCCGCTCAGGGCTTAATTTCGTTGGGCGCCGACGAAATCGTGCGCACTGGGCAGGGTCAGATCCAGGAGAAGTTCTTGCGGCCACCGTCGGATCCTGTGCTTCTTTGCTCCCGAGGCTTGGAATTCGTCGTTTTGCACCTGCGGAGTGCCGGAGACAACGAAAATCCATCCCAATCTCCAAAGCGGCGGGGAGACTCGGCGCGCATTCGATTCCCAGAGACCAGGGAGCGCACCTGGGGCGGTATTTCGGCGTGAATGGGGGCTTTATCTTTCCTGTTCCCTCCTTGCTGTAGCCCATCCCTAGGCCTGTTCGACTGGCCCAGGAGGCGGGAGGGGAAGGGGTTGTTTGCAGTCAAGCCCAGAAGTGGTTGGGCCGCTAGGCTGGGGAGTGGGAGCGGGACCCCAGAGCCCGGCGAGCAGGCGATGTATGCCTGGGCGAAGCTGTCCGCGTCCGTGCAGCGCGGCCAGAGCGCACCGGCCTAAGACGACGCGGGCTTGGAGTCGCGGGGTCCACCTTCCAGCCACATGGAGGAAGAAAATTCTCTCCTCTGGAAGCCAGGGCCCTTAGCTTTGCAGCCACTCCGCAGTTTTCTTCTTGCCACGGACCCGCGTGTTCCACAAGGCAGGGCTGTGGTTAAATGCGTGGAGGAAAAAAATCGGGGAAACAGACGCGTTTTGCAGGTCGCATTATGTTTTGCAAAGAGCCACAGGCTGCCACAACGAAGAACGATGCCCCGAGGCCTGCACGATCCTAAAACTTGTTTTGAGGGCAGATCGGAGAGGAATGGGGTTGTTGGCCTCAGCAGTCTGCGGGCCCGTGGGAGACTCCCTTCGGTCTGTCCCCAGGTCGGCACAGGGACCACTGAGGCCAGGACCAAAGCAAGACTGAGAGCTGCAGAGGCCGGCGGCCGGGCTGGCCCCGGACGGCATGCAGAATCCCGTGTGCAGAGAGTGCTCTTGGGTCAAAATAATTTGCAGGGGGGTGTGGAGGGAGATGAGTAACCTCTCTGGGGCAGCTCCCGGGGCCGGCGCTGTGTCACTGGCCTTGGAGCCCCCGCGGTCCCCAGCTGAGGGTGCAGGCGTCACAGCCCAAAAGCGGCTAGAGCTCGGGGAGCCTGGCTGTGCCCAGAGGGGAAGAGGAGGGAAGGAGTTGTCCCCGTGTCAGGGAGCCGCGACCTGGAGAGGGCGGCAAGGGAGCTTTCTGTGGGGCCCGGACGTTCTAAACTAATTTCTAGCGTCTGCCCCGGGCTCCTAGAACTCTCCGGGGCCCTCCGCCACCGCGCGGGGCCTCCGACAGCGGGCGTCCTCCGCGGGGCGGGGCCTTCCGCCCCACCCCTTTGGGCGGCCTTCGGAGGGCCCGTTCCTCCCCCGCGAGCGCCGCAGAGGTGCCCGCGATGGGGGCTGCGATTGGCTGCGCGATGCGTCGCTCGGGCCAGGCCCGCCCCCGCGGGTCCCGGGTACTAACCCCGCGCGGGCGGCCACAGCCCCGCCACTTGATTCTCGAGGATTTGTTCTGGGGCTGCGGCTGCGAAGTCGCTGGGGCGGCCGCGGGCTGCGGGCCGGGAGGCGGCGGCGGCGGCACAGCCCGCACGGGCCCCGCCGCGGCCCAGGCAACCGGGACCGCCGCGAGGGGCGGCGGCACGCGGGCCGCGCGCCCGGGATGCGGGACTAGCGGGCAGGCTGCGCGCGGCCGTCGGGGCAGCGAGGCCTCGCGGCGGGCAGGCCCCGGCGGGTCGGCCCCGGGCGCCGCCCCCTGCTCCCTGAGGCCCGGGCCCCGCCGCTTCTGCTTTCCCGCTTCTCTCGGCAGCGGCGGCCGAGAAGGCGCCCGCGCCGGCCGCCCCCGGGGGAGCCGCGCCGCCGCCGCCCGCCCGGCGCCCTGACGGCCGCTGTTATGCGTATTCCTGTAGACCCGAGCACCAGCCGCCGCTTCACACCTCCCTCCACGGCCTTCCCCTGCGGCGGCGGCGGCGGCGGCGGCGGCAAGATGGGCGAGAACAGCGGCGCGCTGAGCGCGCAGGCGGCCGTGGGGCCCGGCGGGCGCGCCCGGCCAGAGGTGCGCTCGATGGTGGACGTGCTGGCGGACCACGCGGGAGAGCTCGTGCGCACCGACAGCCCCAACTTCCTCTGCTCCGTGCTGCCCTCGCACTGGCGCTGCAACAAGACGCTGCCTGTCGCCTTCAAGGTGAGTGCGGGACCCGGGGCGGGAGGACACGGGCCCTGGGGCTCCCGGCGTCCCAGCCGCAGGAGCCAGGGTCCCGGGAGGAGTGGGGAGGGACCTGCCCGAGACTCTGCGGCGAGACCCCGGCAGCTGGGAGGAGGGCGCTTTCAGCCCCGCTGCGTGCTCGGCCGAGGGACCTCGGCGTTCATTCTTGGATGTGCCCGGGACGGATGGCTTTTGGGGGCTGGCCCCCTCCACCTGGTCTTTGGGGAACCCTGCGTAGACACGTTGATGCGGAAACAAGCGAATGGGGCTTCGCTCTCCCCTAACCCGGATCCCTCGGACACAGCCCTGCGGGCAGCCGAGAACAGGATCCCCAGGACCAGGGCGAGGACACCGGAGGTGCGGTTCGGAGGGTGCGTAGGGCCTACCCTCCACTGCCAGCACCCCGCCTCCTGCGCTGCTTCAGAAACACTTCCTGCTCACACCCTCCACCTCGGGCTTCGGGCTTCTGAAATCCTGCGCGGGGCTGGACTCCAGGCCAGGACCCGGAGCATTGCACCCTAAATGGTTGCGCCGGCGGAATATTCTGCATCCGCAATGGCAGGCTGAGATTGGGGTGCCCCCACCCCTGGCAGCCCCCAATCATTCAGAGGATCTTTTTCTCTATGCCAGGGAGTAGGCGACTGTTTCATTTTCATTTTTTTAAGGGGGCAGCGAGATGAAACGAAAACGCCTTGGTTTTCCCCTAAACCTCTCACAGCTGCCGTGAGAAAGGGCAGGGCAGGAAGGGCCGGCGGCAGGGGGGGTGGTGCCCGAGGTGGCTGGAAACAGCGGCCGCTGGCAGCTGAGCCGTCCTTGCTCCCATTAAGACGACTCCAAATTGGAAAAAAGCATGAGTGGCTCTTTGAGGTCTCCCGGGTGACATCTTAAAATACCAGTGGGGAAAATCTCCCCGGGAGGGGGGGAGGCCCGTGTGACTTTAATCGTCAGATCGGAGCTTTTACTGTCACTTGGAGCTTAAAAGGAGTCTTTGAAATTAAAAGAAGACAGGATGTTGACAGGAAATCTGGCCTTTTTAATCAGACCCCAAACATTTTCTCCTTGAAATTTTTACCATCTGGATCCTTACTCCCTGCACGCGGCAGCCACGTTTAAATGGCTGTGACTCTGTTTAGAGTCTGATTCTTTTTCAAAAGGCATCTGCCTCTCCGTGCTCTTGGGGGCAGGGGGTGGGGAGACGGTATTTAGAGGGACATCCCCACTCCCATCCTGCAATTCCCAGCAGGTGTATCCTCCTGTTATCAAAAGCCCTCCCCCCCACACTTTAAAGGGGTTTTCTGGACGACCCTTCTCAAAACCAGTTTGTTTTGCATTTTGCATTTTCTCTGCATAACGAATTCAGGCTCTGCAGAGGCCAATAAACCAGGCCCGGGCCACATTTCAGGACCAAATTTCCTACCCCTAACGACTCTTGCATAAATTGAGTGAGGGTAGCAGCCTTCTTATTATTATTGTTGGTATTCTTTTTTGCTTGCAAAGTTGGTTGCTAGAAGCATGTTGATTCTTCTTTTACTCAAGCCGAAGGCAGGGGAACCGCATCCCACATCATAGTGACTGAGCCGATTCGCGGCTCTCGCTTAGATTCGATTTCATTGAAAGGATAATTTCTTGGGACACGGCTTAACCAGTTGATCTAGGATTTTGGTATGGAAGGTAGGGATTTCATCTGCTTGTTTTTGTTATATTTGGGGGAAGGTCTTTATTGTTTTTAAGCCTCTTCTCCACCCCACATTCGAGAAATCTGCAGTGCGTCTGGGACCTAGGGGAGCTGCCCGCCCAGCCCCTCCCCTCCTTCCCCTTGCCTCCCTCTGCCTTTCTAAGCGATCTCTCAGCGCCCGCCTTGTCCTCAGGTGGTGGCACTGGGGGATGTGCCAGATGGAACCGTGGTGACCGTGATGGCAGGCAACGATGAGAACTATTCTGCCGAACTTCGCAATGCCTCTGCCGTCATGAAGAACCAGGTGGCCAGGTTCAACGACCTTCGTTTCGTGGGCCGCAGTGGGCGAGGTGAGCCGGAGGAGGGAGACCTCGCCATCCCAACATTGGCAATGGCAAAGGTCGGGGGAAGGAAGCTGAGAGAGAGGCCTTGGGGTCCCAGTGGAAGCCCCGGAAACAGGTCTCCCGGTCCAGCTCTGTCTAAAAGAGCCGTTTGTAATCCCTTAGGGTGTTATTACAGATCTCTGTGAGGATGTGAGGAAAGTTATGGTCTTTTACCAGGAAAAGCCACAATTTTCTCCCAGTTTCTGGGGTTTACTAACTCCTGAAACCTTTCGTGCCACCCCTCTTTCCTGATTAAGCAACCCTGGTCGCACAAAAAATGCTGGGAGAAGGTCGTGGATGAATGAACAAAAAGGGAGCTTGCAGGTCTTCCAGCAGGCAGCTTGGAGGACCAGTCTGCCGGGCCCAAGCACCCAAGCCACTCTCCCCACGGGGCAGAATCTCCTCTATACTCTGAGACCGCCTCTCCCCAGCTGTGGCCTCCCGAAGGCACAGTTTCCCAAGCCGTTTGAGCCCCAGATGGTTTCGAATAGAACTAATGCAGTGCAGAATGCTGAATGTTGGAGAGCACAGCTTGCAGGCTGCCGTCTCCCATCCTACAGTCCAGGCTGGTGTGCCACCCTGCCTGCCTGATCGACCTCGGCAGTAGAAGGAAGGCAGGACCAGGGGCTGTTGAGTGGGTGGCTGCTGAGACCTGAAACCCATCATCACTTAACTCCTGGGGAGAGAGGTCCTAGCAACCCTGCCCCAGCGAAATGGAGGCTTCAGAGTCCACTGGCCCTTTAAGACCAGCCTGCTGAGAAGTGGCTTCGGGAGCTGCCCTTCCCAAGCACCAGGCCTGCCTCCAGCTTTGTTAAGAAAGTCAGCCGGTTCCTTCTGCGGCCCGACTCCACACAGGCTCAAGCGGCTGAAGCAGAATTGTACTTTTCATCACCAATAAACAAGCCCTTCGCAAGGTTTTAGTTCCCTCTGAGCTGCCAGCCCTGCTCCGCAGCGGGCATCTGGGCACCATTTTTTCCTCTCCAGCCATTCAATGTATACATACAAATGTCAAACATATTTTGACTTTTCAGCATTAATTAAAACCAGGGCATTATTTGCATGTAATAACTGTTTACTTGTTACTTTTTATGAAACTGAAATAGTTTACATTCTTTCAAACATTTCCTGTTCCTGTTGGCTCCCTTCCCCACGCACAGATTTCTTTCAAACGGTGCCCTTAACTGGTTGCAGGTTGATGGATGGAAAATGTTTGCTTTTATGAATTAAGCTTTCATTGCTGCTCCTAATTAGTCTCCAAGCCCCTTTTGTCATCCCCAATCTCTCAAGCCCTTTGCAACTTAATCCTAGCCCCAGCCCTGAGTGGAGAGTCACTCCTCTCTGGTCGGTGGCAGGCAAGGCTGGTACCTCTACTGACTGCAGGGCAGTGGCTGGGTCTGCCAGCTCAGGTGTGGAGGACACTATAGCTGCCACCCCTCGTGAGGCAGGCAGAAGGTGATGTTGGTCTGGGAGCCCAGCAAGACATCAGGAACTTTGTTTTCCTTCCCAGTCCTTCGCCTGGGAGGGGAGATATAGAAAGAGAAGAGATGGTGATTCTCTTGAGTTACCGAGACCTCATCTGGCCGTTCTGCACCCTGAAAATGATTTTTTGTGGCTTTCATGCCCACAGACTTGGGCCTCCACCCCCAAAGCCTGCAAGGAGGGAGATGGCTTTCTAGAGCATCGTTCAGCAGTGTGCTCTTGTAGCTGGCACAGCCAAGGCTGGGACGGTGGCTCTGGGAGCTGCAGGAGGCTGTGTGTGTCAACCATTCTCACTTCCATTCTCTCACCAGTCTCAGTGGTCCTGGGAGGGAGGGAGTGGTCTAAATACAAGTTCCGATGCCTACAGAACCCTGGATGAAGCATTCAGTCCTCAGAGGCTTATGATCTTTAAGAGCCTGGCTCTAGAATCAGCCAACCTGGGTTCGAGTCCCAGCCCTGCTAGTGAATTGCTGGGTGGCATTGGGCAAATGACTTAACCTCTGTGTGTCTCAGTTTCCTCATCTGTAAAATGGGGCTAATGATGGTCCCTACCTCCTGAGATTTTGAAGGGATTAATGAAACTGATGCAAGTATATCAATTGGTGCATATCGAGAACTGGATACATATTAGAGATTTTGTTACTTCAAATGCTGGGGACTGGAGGAGGCCTTTGAGGTCCCTTTGAGTGGTGACAGTCACTGATTCTCTGATTACCGTGCGGTTTGGGCGGGGGTGGGGGAAACCCAGAAGGTGTGAACTGCTGAGTGGGAGAGGTGGAGGCGGCTGGCAGGGAGGAGGAGGGTGCCAGGGTCTGGTGGCATGCAGACACACATCTGTTGTGCCCATCCTGCCGACTGGGAAATTCCCACCTGAGAGAACAAGTCAGTGGTTGACACCGACAATCTGAGCCACTTTGGGAGTCAGGACAGGTTGGGGTTTGGGACCCAGAGCCCTTCCCTGGCTCTGTGACTTCTTCCAGGACTAAGTCAGATGGAAACTTCTGCTTGTTTCCTCAATTTTGAGCCTCGCTTCTGTCTGAATTCCAGGAAGATAGCTTTCCATGAAAGACACACACGCAGTAACACCACAGGCTGAAGCTGTGAACCAAGAACAGGAAGGGAAGGAAAACCAGGTCACTGCTGCCTCCTGCAGTGATTAGGGCCCAGGTTCCCACCTGCCAGGCACAACACCTCTTTCTTAAAATAAATATTTTTTGTAACGAGCCCTTTACTATCCTACATTGAAATTGACAGGTAACATAACCTACCTACTTACATCCGGTTTCAAAATCTTTATAATTCCGTAGCTATGATAGAGAAAAAACAGGAACGTAGTTCATGATAAAACAGCGCTGTGAATATATACATGCTGGGGCGGGACGACACAGCAAGGTGGACCGATGCCCTCTCCGCAGAAGCCTCGTTGTCGCCACAGCGGACAGAACAGGCAGGGGTCCCCAGAGTCTGGGTGTGGCCCTGCCATCAATGCCATCATTTTCTGAAGTTGTGGACAATTCTTTGCAAAGTTCTGAACAAAATTAGAAAAAAAAATTGTCTTTCCTCTTGGAAAATTCAGAAGATATTAAAAGTGCAAAAAAATTTCCTTGTTTTATGTAAAACTGAATTAGGTTCATGGCTCAGGATTTTGATAAGCTTTTGCCTTCCAGCCAGAATGTGCTCTTCACTGCCCTGTCAGTGCTGGACACCTGCATCCCCCTCCACAAACACGCTGCCCACCTCTGATGCCGGCAGTGCCTGCCTGGCACCATTGACCACGCAGACCACAGACCCCCGAAATGCCCTCTAGCAGGCAGCCACCGACCTAGGCAAAGATGACAAGCACATGAGCTCCTGACCTACCATTAACTGGTTAAAAAGGAACCACCATTTGTGGAGAGAGATTTGGGGTGAGGTGTGTGGGTGCAGACCACTGGTGAGGGAAGAGATGGATGGCTTCTTGGCCAGTGAGGAGAAAACCCAGAGGTCCCCTGAGACACACAGGTCCCCTCCTTTGCCCAGGCAGCTCCCATGGGTGGGGCTCATTGCACAGGACCCTCTCGAGAGGCTCACAGGCTTGCCAGACGCCACACTGCCGGACCCAGCTGAGCTTGATGATGGGTCCAGGGCGCTGGGTTCTGCAGGGCAGTTACTTCCCAGACGTGGATTTCTTCCCCCACCCCACCCCCCAACCCAGGCACCCTTGGAGTGCCTGGATTTGCAATTCCTGGACTCCTGGCCAGTTGCAGGTTTGCCTGCAAGGAGGGTTTCTGCAAGGGGCTGTCCACCTCCTTTGTCTTCTTGGTTTCCTGCTCCTAGAGGCGGAGAGAGATGGATGGATGGGTTTGTTGCCGCCAGGCAGAGAGAGAGCCGGGCAGGGCCAGGGAGAGTTGAGAAGCACTCAGGAAGACAGCTTCCTCCCACCCCTGCTTCCCAGGGTCCCTGCTTCCTGGTCTTCCTGACACCTGCCCCTCCCGTCTACTCCTGCTCTTAGCCCCCGCCTCAACTCCCAACTCTGACTCCTCTCCCCTCTGTGGATGCCTGGGAGGGATGGTGACAGGCCTGGAAACCAAGAGGAAGTGGGCAAGGAGTGCTGGTGACTTCAGGGGTGGCATGTGGTTTGCTACCTTGTGGGAGTGGGGCCTTCTCACTCCCCAGGAGCAGGTCCTTAGTACCAATGTGGTGGCGCAGGCTCCATCCAGCACATTCTAACCTTCCTGAGCCCTGCTGGATCCTGTGTGACCTGCTCAACTCACTGCCCCTCTGAGAGCCTCAGTTTTCTCATTTGTAAAATGGGAGCAGCAATCTCTGCTCTTAATTCATTTAATAAATGCTTATTGAGCACCTACTATGTGCCAGATGCTGTCCCAGAGGCTGGGGACACAGCAGTGAACAAGACAAAAATTCTGGCCCCAGGGAGCTTATGATCTAGTAGAGGGAGGCAAAATGAGATAGGTAAGTGGAGGATTATTGCAGGCAAGAGCAGGGAGTGGGAGGGCCTGTGATGCTTCCGATTGAGCTGCTTAAGCTTTTTGTGCCCTGTGGGCTCTTTAGACAGCCTGGCGAAGCCCACACACCTTTCTCAGAATAATGTGGGGTTTTTTTTCTTTAAGGTTTAAGATAAAATACAAAGGATGACAATAGAAACCGATTCTATTAAAACAATTGTTAGAAAAATGTTTTAAAAATTGTGATAAATGTGCTGCCTGTTTAATGTATTAAATAACAACATCCAGCAATGGGTCTAATGACGACTGTGCTACTGAAGTTGTGACAAGCATAAAGGATATTTGGAGAAACCTGCGACAACTGTAACGTGATATGTAAATATCTGTGACGTCTCTTGGCGACAAGGTCACAGGTACTGCCGCGAACACGGCTGTGGTTTGTTGCCTACGTACGCTCTTCCTTGCGAGAGATGCTAAATTTCAGTTAGAGGTTAGGGACAATACAGGTAGTTTTTTTCCTATCCCGGGCCTGCTCAGTTCTACAGAGCCAAGTTTAAAACGCCTACTTCAGATGAAGTGACCAGGGAAGGCCTTGCTGGGAAGTGACTTTTCAGTTGACACCTGCAGGTGCATTGAAGTAAACAGTCAAGTGCTGCTGGGGGCTCTCAGTGTCCGGAGCGTGCCCACTAGTGCTCTGGGCTGTGCCCAAACTGCCCCTCAGCATGGCACCCACAGAAAGTGATGGAAGGGGCGGAGGCCCAGAGAGCCCCAGAGAGTGCCTGGCTGGTTGCAGGGGGAAGGGGTGTGGGCGGGAGATCGCTGCAGAGACAGGGAAGGCAGTAGTGGGGAAGGAGGTCCTGGGAGGGGACAGCAGGGAACCTGAGGCCACCAGCTTGGCATTTCCATAGACCGTTTTGTACTTTCTGTTTCCAGTGCAAAGGGCCCCTGCAGCCTGAGAGTGAGGGGTCCGGGTTTGTTCTTCCGGACCCAGGGCTCCAGGAGCAAGGGCTGTTAGCATTTCTATCCCTGCCTCCAGCTGGCTGGCCCGGGAAAAGTCTTCCAGAGGAGCCCCCCATTTCTCGGTTGGAGCCATCCATACCTCAGGGGCTCTGTAGCTTTAACACCACCCCCGCCCCGCAGCATCTCAGAAGCCCTTGAGTTCTTCAGTGTGGCCCTGGCAGCCAGGCTGGTTTAATTTTGTTCTAGATTCTCCTGTTTCTGGAGCTAGAATTTTCACTTGATCACTTGGCCACCAAGTACCCAGCCGTGCAAACAGAACCATAAGATACTGGCCCCCACACTGAGGTCCGTCTCCCATGAGTGACGTGGGGCTCATGGAACCTGCCTTGAGAGATGCTGGGAGGACACCAGCGGGGTGCACTCAGGCAGCCTCCCTCGGTGCCCGTCCTGTGCCAGCCCTGGGGGTACCGTGCACCAGGCCGTTGGCTCCTGCCGTCAGGGAGTTCCTGGGACTGTAACTGGGGTCCAGAGGCCAGGGGTGCACTGAGGCAAGGCGGAGGTGAATTCTGGCTTGGGGAGGTCAGTGAAGCTCACCCCCGATCTCACACAGCACGTGGCTTTGGGTTATGATGGAAACAGAGTGAGAGGAGAGCTCTGACGAAGGCACTAGGGACATTGGGTTGCTCTTTGAGGACAAATCCTTACCTATACCATACCAACCGGTAGAACCTCGGGCACATCAAAGAATTAACTATAGAAAGCGGAGAGAACGCTCTTGTTGCAAGCAAAGCTTTTATCTGCCTTCTACGTGGAGAAAACTGTCTAAACATAAACGATAGAAGAACAAGAGCTAGAACTGAAAACGAAAACAGCTCAGGACCAGAAAGTGAAATGAGAAGTCCACTGGCCTGGGAAACTGATCACCACAGCTACGACACGGAAAGTGTTAACAAGCTTCATACGCGGCGGTTTTTAAAAGGCACTAAATCCTTAACAGGACAGTGTAAAAGAACACAGAGCAATAATTTGTGCTGGATTATGCCGGATAATAACCATATCCAAAGTTTCCCTCTCACTGGTAGGAGAAGAAAGGCAAACACAGTCAAGAGAGTCTAAAAGCTCTTCCATCTTGGTAGACGTGGTCACGCAGGTGATGGCCCTGGGGTGGACGTGGCCTCACATCGGGCGTGACGAAGACGACGGAGACCCCTCTGGAGAGTCATCTCGCTCCAAGAGAGATCAACGCCCAGAAATATGTACCAATCCTCTGATGCGATGAAATCACTCAGCGCTTCTTGGAATGTATTCTAAGGAAATAAGCAGAGATGCAGACAAAGATTTTTATAAACAGAAAGTCATTTTCATTTTATTTTAAATGGTTTATAAAAAAGTATTATTTTAAAAGTTTTTTCCCCCTCTCAGGAATTTTGAATGGAGACTTTGGAGCCAAATGTCTATCTAAAAATAGAACAGGGTTCTGGAAATAACAGTTGTGTCTACAAATGAAATGTCTGCAGCTCCCAAATCAGTCCTTTTCCAGCCCTGGCCACGCACACCAATGAGAAATTAGCAACGACGTAAATGCCAGGAGTGAGGGGTAGATAAATACAAGAAAATACAAGATGGGGCTTGCGTGAGTTGAAATATTTGCGGCCATTAAAAATGAAGTTTATGAAGAGGTTTTAATGACGTGGGCTTCTGATGTGATGTTAAATGAAAAATAAGAGTACAAAATGTGCACTTAGTACCTCTTAGTACCACTGCACTGTGTAAATGCACGACCCATACACAGAGGATGGGGGCAGAAAACACCCAAATGGTAACAATGTTTATCTCTGGCTAGGGGAACTGATGGGTGTTTTTTCTTCTTTCTTTAATATTTTCTGGGTTCTTAAAGTTTTCTACAAAGATCACTAATTACTTGCAGGAAAAAAAATATAGACCCATCCTTGCTCCCTACCCCCAAATCGTGTGGGTCTCTGAATAGAAGGAACAGTGCAGAGAAAGACCAAGAAGTAGGGAAAAAATAAGCCAGGGTGACTGGGGGGCGGGGTGACAAAGTTAGTGCCAGACCCCTGGGGGCCTTGAATGCCGCCCCCAGCAGCTGGAAGCTCAGCTAGAGCCCTGTCTTCTGCCCAGGTTCAAAGGGGAGAGACCTGCCGTTTCTAGAAAGTCAGAAGCTTCCAGGAGTCGGGTACAGGCAGGAAACCAGGGCGTAGTGAAAGCTCCAGGTGCCAACCTCTTGCCTTTATCTCCCCCACCCCCCAGGGAAGAGCTTCACACTGACCATCACTGTGTTCACCAACCCCACCCAAGTGGCCACGTACCACCGAGCCATCAAGGTGACCGTGGATGGACCCCGGGAGCCCAGACGTAAGTGTCACTGAGCCCCCTGACCCTGCTGGGCAGGGCAGGAGGGTCTGGTGGGGGGAGGGCAGCGGTGAGGTCAGACTGATGGCACTGGGTTCCTGGAGCCCTCTGGGGGATTACGGTCCTTGGCTCGGGCTCCCCCACACTGTGTACCTGTGGCAAACCTCTAACCCCTCTGGGCTTAGCCCCAGACCGTGGGAGGCTGGGGGCAGAGGGGGACGGCAGGACGCTTGGTAATCCTGCCTCCTGGTGAGACCAGCTGAGGGAGTCAGGAGAAGAAGAGGATGGGGAAAGCCCAGATGTGGTGTCGGGTGGGGGGGCGGTTTGGGGGTGGAGGTTGGGCCAGGCTTGCTCTGCCAGAGCCCCTCCTTGGAAACTCTTTTTGAGTGCTAGCATGTGACTTGCTCAAGTCACGCAGAGCCCAAGCACTCTGACCCCAGGGCCCACACAAGCGAGATCAGGACTGCAGATCTAATTCCACGAATATTTATTGAGCACCTGCTGTGTGCAGGGCATGAGTTTGTGTTTAGTTCCTTCTACCTGCTGAAGGCCCTGGAGCTTGCTGAGTCAAGCTGGGGCAGCGGGAGGGCGGGCCACGGGTCTGTGTTCGTGAGTGAATGGTCGAAGCAAAGAGCCAGCCAGCCAGCTGCCCGACCCTACCCCAGAGCTCCCGTCTGGACACCCCCACACCCCCGAAGCACAGTTAGCTGTGCTTGAGAGCGCATTGAGAGCTGGCCTGTCCCCTTCTTTCTTCGTAAGCGTGACCCTTTACAGTGTAGAAAACCTTTTCGCGCTTGTTATTTCATGGGATCCCGTGACAGCAGAGCCAAAGGGTCACCCACGTTCCGGTGAGACAGTCTGGGCCTGAGGAAGTTGGGTGCTTGGCTGGGACCTCGTGTCCTGCCGGGTGGGGGAGGTGCCCTAGCCTGAGACTTCCAGAGCCAGCCTTCGATGCCGGGCTGCGCAGGCCGCGGCAGGAGGACACGCTGCTGCGTCTCTCTGCAGAGCGCAGGAGGCTGAGAGTGGGCATGTGGCTTTGCCAGGCGATGTCGGTGAGGAGTACCCCGGCCTGGCCCTGGGCCTGCCCCTCCCTCCCGGGGAGTCAGGTGGGCTTGGCTCCCCCATCCCCCCAATTCCCGGGCCCATCACAGCGGCTGGTCACTTGGGAAGGGCTCGGAGCTGGGCCCAGCATCCCCGAAAGTTTCCCCACGAGCCGCTCAGGGTCACCTCTGCCAGCCCGCCCTGAGCTCCTGCACGCGCACGTCCCCAGGCCTGCACCGTCAGCACCAGCCGGCGCCTGCTCTGGCCGAATTCCTGCCGGTTCCTCCCGGCTGGGATCTGACGCGGGCAGGCCCACGCTCTTGACTTTGGGCTCTGTGGCCTCACGCAAGTCATGGCTCCTTTTTGACCTCAGTTTTATTGTCTGTGAACTGGATCAGTGACCCCAGGAGTCTCAAGGTGGTGATGGCTGGGGAGCCCTGTGAGCCATAGGCCACCATAGTGCAGAGAGCAGATTCGGAGCCAGCCTGCCTGGCTGTGGAACCTCCATGCCTCAGTTTCCTGATCTAAAAAATGGGACTCACATAAGCAGCTACCTCGTAGTGCTGTGGAGCTGGGGACACTGCTCACAACACCCAGAGAGCACCCAGAGGAGAAATAGGGTAATCTGTGTAAAGCACTTAGAGGGGGTGGGAGGGTTAGCAGGTAATCAGTCACTTTAACCAGGGCTGTTATCTGCTGTGTGACCTTGGGCAAATCATTGACTTCTCTGGGCCTCAGCTCCCTCCTCTGTGAAATGAGATGATCCCACCTTGCAGGCCTGAGATCAGGGTGACACGAGGACAGCACATGGCTGTAGCAGACAGAGGATCCTCACGAGTCAGTGGGTCCGTGGTACACCCCTGCTCCCCTGCACTCCCGCCACCTCCCACCCCCACAGTGGTCGACGGTGAACCTCTCTTGGGAGCAGCAGGGTGCTCCCATAGCAATAGGGTGCAAGTGTGAAGTCCCTGCTGAAGGAGGTAACAGTCCGCTCTAGGTCCCCAGGGGCAGGATCAGGATGGACAGAAGCCACAGTTGGGCTCAATGTGAGGGTGCGGCACTTACGAGGCTCTCCGAAAAGGAGGGTGCACCTGTTGGCAGAGACAAGCGAGCAGGAGTCTCAGAGCTTGGTGGGAAGGTCCCCAGGGACCAGGCAATCCTGGCATCTCTGAAGCCCTACGTGTTCATCCCTGCCCGGCCCAGAGCTGCCCACCCTTCCTTCTGAGGCGTCTGGATGATCATGGAGGCACAGCCCTGCCTGTGGGAGCCCCAAGTTCAATCCTCTGCCTGCTTCTCTCTCCTGGGGCCCCCCAAGCCTGAGATGGCCCTTTCTGGGGTGAGCTGGTGGGGGAGGGATGCTCAAGACCAGGCGGCTGAGCCCAGAGGGAGCAAGAGGGAGGCAAGAGGGAAGCAGCAAGAGGGAGGGACAGAGGCTGGGCTGGGACACCCAGCAGAGGCAGAGACCAGGTTTGCTGTGCCACCTGGGGCAGGTGGCATCTCTCTCTGGGCCCTGGCAGGGACCAGATCAGTGGTTTAAAAATGACTTGTTCAAACAAAATCTTAGCAGACGCTCATTTATAGAACAGAGCAGAGGTGGGGAGAGGGCATTGCTCCAGGTCCCCCATCCCTAGTACCTGCCTGCTCCTGTCCCTGGCCTGCCCTGCCCTGAGGTCGGGTCTCACCCTGACCCTGGGTTCCAGCCCAGCCTGGCCTTCAAGGTCTGTGACTTTGCACATATCCTTCCCCTTTCCTGGCTTCAGTGTCCCCAGCTGTAAGAAGGAAGAGGCCAGCTCAGTAGCTGCTGGTCACTGAGCACCCCGTGTGTGTCATGGCAAACTCTCCATTAATTAATCCTCAGCAACCCCAGAAGGGGACAGAAGCCAAGGAGGCAACACCTCTCGCCCCAGGTGAACTTTAGTGCACCCTGGGGGCTCCAGCTGAGCACTCAGGGAGGTGAGGGCCACTTGGAAGGGCCTTCCCGCCTCGCCCCCGGGTGCTCATCTGTAAACCAGGGATGGTATCAGTGTCTGCTCTGGGGCACCGTTGTGAGGGTTAAACGCGTTTACAGCTGCCCAGCGCGGAGGAAGTGCCCAAACCCTCCTGGATTAGCACCGCCTTTTGCGCTCCGGGATTTCCTTTCCTGCTTTGCCCCTGCTTTGCAACCCCGGCCCGTGTGAAGTCCGAGCCTTCTGTGGGGTGGGAGGGAGCCACGGGCTGGGAGTCTGCTGATCCCTGAAGCCGACTGTGGGTTCTGTGGCTGGGTCGTTCCCCTCTGGTGCCCTGCAGAGCGTGCCCAACCTGCAGCCAGGTGGCCAGCTGGGTTTGAAGGCTGGCTTGGTGGCTTCCTGCCTGTGTGGCCTTGGTTTCTGAGGTTCTCGATGCTGGTGTCCCTCAGAGTCACTGGGGGCTGCTTAAAAAGCAGGTTGCTGAGCCGGGTCCAGGATTCGGGCAGGAGGTGGTTCAGTGCCTGGCGATCCTGCTGCGGCCCACAGCTTGGGAACAGCTAACCCAGACTTCCAGGCTTAGCAGGCGCTGGTACCTCGACAGGTAGGACTTGGGTTCTTACTCCTGCCTGAGGCAGAGGAGGATGGTTCTGGGTTCTTCCCTGTGGGCCCTTTCCTCCCAAAAATGTACATGAATGATTTCAACAAATATTTTCCTGGGCACCTACCACGTGTCAGGCCCTGTTCCATATGCCAGAGATGCCACAGTGAACCCCGCCAGATGGGCTCCCGCCCTCTTGGTGCTCAGCCTCCAGGGTGGGGAGAGATGGTGAACAGTTTTGTTGTTACCACGGCCCTCTAGCCCCACCTGATCTGTGCCGTTACCCCTCGCTGTCCCCGCTCACCCCACTCTGGCCACCCTGGCCACCCTGGCTGGTCTTCAGCCTCACCAGGTACATTCCTGCCTCAGGGCCTTTGCACTGCTCTTCCTTCTGCCTGGAACTCTCCTACCAAGGCACCCGCAGGTGTGGCCCCCTGTTTCGAGTTGCACACGCATAGCCCTCCTCACCTCTCCCCGTCCTTCCTGGCTCTGGTGCCACCCCGAGCACGTACCCCTTTCTGCGGTGCTGCACAGTTCACTAATGTATTTCATTCATTATTTCGCTCCCCAGCTACTGTATGTGCCCCACGAGGGCAGGGCTCCTTTCTCTCTTTTGCCAGGCACTGGTATAGACCCTGAAGGAGCCCTTAACGGGCTTGATGAATATTTGATGAATAAACAAAGTGAGCAAATAATTAATTTCAGGTAATGTGAAGCCCCATGAAGAAAAACAAAGCTGGGAGGAGGGGTGGAGAGTGCAGGGCAGGGACACGGGGAGGGGTGCCCTGGAGAGGTGAGCTTTGGGCAGAGAGGCCTACAAGAAGTGAGCAGACAGCAAAGCGTGGCTGCGGGGGCCTTGGCATGGGCAGTAAAAGTGACCCTAAGCCCACAGCTGGGCCTTGGAGGCTCCTAAAGTTGCCGCGGTTTCTTCCCCGGCTCCAGGAGGAAGCCAGAGGGAGGGACGCGGAGGGATGGATGCCTGGGCCGAGCAGGGGCAGCCGCCCCCAGTGCACGGCTCCCAAGACCCCCACAACCCCAGGAGTGGCCCCTGTGCTGGGGCAGGCCTAGGGGAGCCGGGGGCGTGTGCCTGGCAGGAGGGAAGGGGTTAACCACAGACCTCCCGGGTTCCCCTAATCAACCCCAGGCTGCTGGAAGCCCCACTCACAGCATCCCTGCCCGCTGGCCCCCCGCCAGCCCGTTTCCCTGCCCAGCCACCGACCCAGCTTTCATCTGCTCACAGGGGGCCGATTCACGGCAGACCACCCTGGGCCAGCACCCGCCTGCGATTCCGCGAGGTTGTTAAGAGTCGGGTGTAAATCTCCTGACAGGCCGCAGAGCCGGCCTCGGGCCCGGCGCCCCACCCCACGGCTGGGCAGACAGTGGCTGCTGTGTCTGGGCCGTGGCCACACCATGCGGCC